CAATATAACTTTACGAACATAATTATCTAAGTTGCATTAAGACATTTTACGATAATATTCTTTTAGGGGTCTCTTCTGGTGATACGTTCACGAAATCTACAACTGCCCATGTCCATAAGCAAACGACCAATTCCAAAAGCAGTGACTCAACGTCTGCTAGTCAGACGACAAAATCGTCACAACGCTCCAGCACAGGTAATATATTATGTTTCATTATTCTTTTTTTTTTGTCAAGGAATATACGCATTATATTGTAATGCAGTGCATTTACTAGAAGGAAAATACATATATGTATCAAAGAGGTTTATTTTAAAGCATTGCATGTCGATTCTGCTCATTTTTGCAACAGATCAGTTCCTATAGTTTGCCTTTCTTTTAATTTACTACAGAAACTCGAACTACCTCAATTAATACCCATACATCCGTCACCACTGCAGACGACCAAACCACAAAGGTCACCCATTCCACCCAAGAAACCACGAAAACCGTCACAGCTTACCCTCTGAGACCTAGTAGGCATTATTTATTACTGAAGATACTTTAAATTTATCTTTGGCTTACTTTAAGGTTATGTATAATGATCATTCAGACTAAAAGAAATTCTATTAAAAATTTCAATGAAATTTTGGAGTAAATGCAATTCCAGTGGTGATTTTTATCTTATTAGGCATATCGAACCAATAGCTTTAATTAACCTCTGCACTAAGTGTAAGGAATAAAAATTTAATACAAACTTCAATCTGTCTTTCCTTTAAGCTTTAACCGTCCAAACAAACAATATTGTATTACCATACTCAAAAGCTGTGCTTAGTGTCAGCTGTGTTACGATGTACGCCAGGCAATGGAGGGAGATGAGGATCTACCGTCAAATGGAGGGGGATTCCATCGTAAGCCTCGTTGTGGTCAAGTCAAACATGGGCTCACCGAACGTGGAAATAAGCCCCAACTTTACGTCCGAGATAAGCTACAAAGAGGATGCCTTACTAGTAACAATTCACTCCAAGGAAGTGGACTGCTCGTACCTTGGAAACTACACCTGTTTGTTGGCGCTCCCAGATGAAACTTACAAGAATACAACCCGAGTCCAAGGTACGTGAAGTTTTAACATTATTATTGATAATTTTAAATGATGAATTTTTAAAAAATGGTTGCGACAACTAAATGTTATTCAAAGTTGTGTATCAACATTCATTAATCAGTAGTTGGGGTAAGTCGCATTGTCTGTGTTAATTAAAACAAAAATAGATTTGACTCCTCTGATATCAATTACAAGGCATTTGTTTTGTAGAAAAAAAAATTTAAAAAGATGCACACACGCATACACAATTGCATCAAGGAACTTGGGCAATAAAGTAGTGCTATGTCCATGACCAACTCTTTAAAACTTGTTTTCTTTATTTAGTTCATAATCCATCACAGACGAATGAATAATTTTGTTAATCTCATTATTCATGAATGTTCTTCAAGATTTAGATCTTGACAAATATTATGCTTAACACGACAGATTTCCATGTTATTTCAGGAAAAAAATAATCAAATACCTATTCATTTTATAATTTAAGTTTTGATAAACATGCAAATCGTGTGATCTATCAAATAAAACAAACTATTTTTGAAGTTGATTTAAAGGTAGGCCTACAGCATTTCTTAATTCCACAGTGAAATCCAATTACAAAGCAAAAGTTGGTACCAAGATGCGGTTTTATTTTTTATTTGACTAACCACAATCTAACCACCTTTAGTTTGAAACATTTTAGTACATTTAGATTGAGGGAAATGAATAGTCAAAAATAAAAGGCATAACTTCTTTGGCAATGTCTTATGATCTATAAAATAATATTTTTTTTTAGATTTTAACCAACCTTACCCAGGGGATCGGTGAAAATCCTTTGTGAAGGAAATTAATTTTTCTCAAATGAACATTGTTTTTTCTGACTTAAGTCTTTTTTAGGTTACTGTTAAGGTCAAAATATGTTTTTCTTTTTAATTAATATTCGGACTTTCTTGTCACACAATAACTAATCTCTTCACATTGATGACTGATTATTAGAAACGAACGCAAGTATTCCGACCGAACAATGGCAATGCTTACACTGCAAGACGTGATAATTTTAAATCCGTTTATAGTACTCACATGTACATGTACGTTTAAATGCTACATTTCCTTACAAAAACATAACTTAATCGTAAAATGATTATTAATATTACTTTATCAAAATTATTTCTTCCTCTAGCTCTGAATAAAAAGAATTCCAAACCTAAGCTGACCGTTTCCACCAGTGTCGTGGAAGACAACACTGCCACTATCACGTGTTCTATGGAGCTGATTGAACCGAACGCCACCATCACTTACAAATTTCGCCCGCCTGGTCTGGACAAGTACTTTAACCTCAGTCTGAGCCCAAATATTACTCGGACGTGGACAGGGTGTTCTCTACTGATTGAGAGTACACTCACTATGGTATCTAAGATGCATGATAATGGATCTGTCTTTATGTGTGAGGTGACGACATATCGTAATAACGCCATCACTACATATACATCAGAAGCCGAATTTAACGTTATTCCAAGTAAGTAATCCATAAAAGATCATATCATGAATAAATTTCGAATAAGAATTCATTTTTTAGTGAAAAAAATTGTTATTTATTGGCGATGAGTTATTTGAAAGTTAAATTCCCTTTATTTTCCAGAAACTTATTGTGATGATAAGAATGCTTTCGCCATATACCCTCATCCCTACGAGACGTGCAATAGCGTCGTGTACTGTTATGTGAATGGTCCACAGGTGTACAAAATAAACTGTGGAGAAGGGTACTGTTACGACACGACTAAAACAAATTGTGTGAAGGTGGCTTCCACATCAGTGCCTAACACCACCCCTACCACCAACACCACCGTGGTGGAGACTCAAACAACGGGGCTGCCATTCGATTCCAAGGATATATAAATACCCAATACATGATGGGAAATATACTCTGTGTTATTACTGAGGTCATGTGGCAATTTTGAAAAAAAAACTAGAAAAATCAACAGAAGAGAAACGACAAGTTTTCTCTTTATCAAACCTCCCTCAAAAAAAGAGAAAACTTTTGAAAAATAATGTCTCCCTTGGGATTACGATTAATCATTGTGTTAAAATCACCTTAGCTGACTGTTAGTAGTCAACGTTATAAATTCAACAAACAAGAGCGATTGTATAAGAACGCGCTTGTCAGCTGACGGTGAACGTTCTTGTTTCTTCAAACCCGGAAATGTTGGAGTGATGAAGTTTATAAAGGTGAAGATCTTGTGTAATGTAACTTTGTTTTAAATTTAGCTCTTTCTGGACTCCTCAAAATCTATTCATCAACAAGTAATGCCATAAAACGTTGACTTATAAAGCAGACCAAGCAGACCGGAGAACAGGATCCTGTACGTAAATACAAGTCCCAGAAAAGTACATGGGTGACATTTATGGAGGAAAGCTGTGGATTTTTAAAATAAGCACGAATTAATCACAGCGATAGGTGGAAATTATGAAACATCAATGTCATAGACATCTCTCATATAGACTTTTCCTTTTTACCTTGATCATGCGTACCTAAAACTGTTAATTTATATTTACATATCTTGTCAAAATGAAATCCAGCTGTTTTGTAGTCCCGTCATTACTGTATGTTATGCATAAAGATTAGCAAACAAATATAGTTTGCACTTTATATTGTTTTTGCTGTTAAAATATGTATATGTGGCATCATATCAAATATAATTATGTCAGGGCTATGTACATATATTTTTTTCCCTGTATATCATAAAATTCTATTTTTTTTGTCATCAGTAATTAAAACACTTTAAAAATGAACGACGTTTAGATGTACACTGTACTTTATTTCAACTGATATACATGTACATGTATACTTTGATACAAAGTACAACTTCACATATTGGTGAACAGAAAAACATAAAAATTATCATCTTCATTTCATAGCATCTTCATAACAAAAACAGAATATAAAATTAATGGGAGAAAGAAAATAATCATATATATAAGACAAAAAACTGGAATCTATCCAACCAAACACTGTAACCGGTGTAAATGGATTTTAATGATAAAGCCAAGCTCAAGGAAAAACCCCAAAAATGTTTAACTTTCCTAAAAAATAACGTTCTAAATAAAGTTTTACCTATAAAAATACAAATAATGAAGGACAATTACGTTTTTGTCATTTAAAATCTGTTCTACAACCTACTAAATGCTTGCAAATGCACAAAGTAAACTCTGATTCTCAATCTTTTCACAGAGCAAGTTCAGTCTTTACATTATTTGACTCCGCCGTAGAATTAAGTAATCCTTTAGTGATTTCTAGGGTTTGGTAGATATCCAGTCCTTCACCTAAAAGACGTCATAAAAAATTGTAGAAAACTGATGATATGGTGACCGGAAAAAAAATCTTAGTCTGCATTTATAGAAGCATTACACGAAATATTGTATTAAACGAATAGACGAAGGACTTGTTTTTTCTTAAATATGATCGGCAAAAAACAATGATTTCATTTTTGAACAAGTTATGCTCATGTTATATGAACAATTACTATAGTTTAACATGATAAAATAACGACTATTACATTGATACAGTTTGTAGATTTGACTATTTATTTTGCTTACAAAGAACATGCGAAACACCGAATCTGATACATTTTCCTCCGCATCATAACTTCTGCCAAGAAAGAAGACCAGCAGCATATATTTACAGTTTTTTATATGGAGAGAGAAACAAACAAACCTGAATTTGAATTCTGTAAATAAGGCTTTTTCGATCCCACGTTATTTTTCGCCCGTACACACTTGCAAAAAAATGTTTCCCCGTTTTCAATTCGCCCAGACACAAAAGGGAAATGTTGATTTCTTTGGATTCGCCCCGTATGAAATTCGTGAATTTGTAACGAGAAGGGGATGCGAGGAAAATTTCCCTATGTACAGCGAAATCCACAGTGTTTGCATAAGTTTTCAGCTAAGGGTTTCCAAGAAATCTAAACATCCAATACCATTCTTTATGCATAAAATTGAATAAACAAATTTTGAATTGGAAAAAACGTAACTTTATGCGATTGTTTTGTTAAGGCCTTGAGGTGTTTTGTGTGCTACATAAATTACATGTATATTGTAATTTTTAAAAAAAATAGATAAAACAAACTTTTTTTTCTATACAATTAATGTTTAACATTTTAAAAGATGATTTAACATTTTAAGAGATGATTTGCTGACTATTTTATATGAACCACAGCACAAATCGCGCGGCAGCAATGATAGCAAATTACATGTACGTTAGTTATTCTCACGTGCTAGTTTTCTCTTCTGGTTTTCATAAATACCTTATAATATTGTAAATTTAACCTCAGTACATTGTCATTTGTCAACCACACAAGCTTACATAACGTTGTGGTCATGTAAAGATTTAATAAATTGTTTTTTTTAAAAGAAAGACGCAAACCGTTACATTTCTTTAAAATTTGAAAACAAGGACACTGTCGTGAACAAAAATACGTTCATTTAAATTTACTGTTTAAAATTTCAATGAAATAAACATTTAAAATAAATTTCAGTTTGCATTTATTATTATTCATTAATTAATGTATTTCAGGTTTTAAAAAAAGAGTTCTTGATATAGAATTTCTAATACATGATGGAATATTAATTAGCTGAAACATATTATTTTGGAAAAAGTTTTTAAGAAATTAATGCAAATGTCATGTACCAAATATGAAAAATTAGTATATGAGAGGTCCTGTAAAATAAAACTGTATTCATTCCAAGCACATCATTTTTTTTTCTTAATCTCCCTTCTTTCATTTTTAAGTAGTAAGCTCAAATTTCGACTTTTTTTATATATTAACATCTACAAAGGAAAAATACATACATGTAATATACAACTTTGAGAAGACTTTATCAAATCAGAAATGTTTCCATATCTCAAAGTTATTGAAAATGATAAAGTGCTTTAATGTGGACTATTGAAACTTGAAGTCTTCTCTGTAGAAATGGTGTGAAGCTTTTCTTATCATAAGACAATACCAAGTAAGTGTACATACAACTTTCCTGCATGCTCAATCACAAAAGAGAATCTAATAATCTCCATAAGTACAAATTAAAGCTCAAATATCAAAAATAGCTTTAAACTTGATTTACTACAGTAACTAAACTACTACACTAATATGTATGCCCAAATCTTAAGCAATCGACAAAGTTTCCTTTTCTTCATTCATTAATACAAAAGTTAAACAATAAAAGGTATGAAATATACACAATTACATCTTTAAGATGTTGATGCTAATCCTGATCCATACTTTGATTTCCAACCACTGGAGACAACATACAGAACCAAGATTGGCAAACAGGAACAAGATTTGATGAATGAAACATTAGTTTCAGCAGATTTCTAGAAGAACGCCCACTAATGCAAGTCAGTGTGTCATACAAAATTTGCATTCAGCATTGATTTTTAAAAAGCTCACACATGGCAGGTGGTCACTATATACACAAATTTTCTGGGGGTACAGATTGAAATGAGTATTAACTGTACACGTGGGAGACGTCAAATAAGGGAGACACAGAAATATTTTTTTAATATGGTTTAAAATGATTAAATCCAGGACTGTTTATCATGTATGTCAAATATGTATAAGGTCATGAAGTAAAGGCCATAAAACCACATGGAATGGAAGTAAAAGTTACGATTACTGGTATTGTCAGACAGTTAGTCTTTGCGTGAGACAGCTTTGACTGAATTTTTATTTGACCTGTCATACTGGTGACTGAATTCTTAGTAAAAATTTGTATAAAGAAAGAGAAAAAAAAATCTGGCCAATTTTTTTTTCTGTACTGAAGTTTTGGACCAATTTACGTAATTTAAATAAAACTGCAAAAATTTACCTAAAATTTACTTGTTAAAGAGTTTGTAAACTTGGAAAATGCATATACTGAGTTTCAGATAATCTGGGTACTGCATTAAAGCTCTCAATAAAATTGAGATGAGTTGGGCTGTACAGTCAGAGTTCAAAAAAACAAGAGGCCCATGGGCCACATCGCTCACCTGAGAAGCTTTGACCATTCTGTTCTTTACCAGATTTCCCCCTTGTAATACAAAATGTGACCCCACCCTACCCCACTGATCATAATTTAGACAATTTACAATCTACACTACCAAACGATGCTTCCACATAAGTTTCAGCTTTTAGTGCCCAGCGATTCTTAAGAAGAAGATTTTTAAAGATCTTTCCTTTATATTCATGTAAAACTTTGATTCCCCATTGTGGCCCCGCCCTATCCCCGGGGGTCATGATTTGAACAATTTAGAATCTACACTACCACAGGCTGCTTCCAAGTAAGTTTCAGCTTTTCTGGCCCAGTGGTTCTTGAGAAGAAGATTTTTAAAGATTTTTGAACAATTTAGAATCTACACTTTACCCCAAGATGCTTCCACATAAGTTTCAGCTTTTCTGGCCCAGTGGTTCTGGAGAAGAAGATTTTTTAATGACCCCACCCTATTTTTGTCTTTTCTTGATTATCTCCCCTTGTGAGGGGACTTAGCCCTTCATTTTAACAATTTAATAGCCATTCTCTGTAACCACTTAAACTTCGTTGCCACGCATGGTCACCGATTTTGATGAAACTTCACCCATGCTTAGTACTTGACACCAGAAACAAATGTCGAACAAAATATCGTTGCTATGTGTCTCGGTTGCTATGGCAACAGCCGGAAAAGTTTGAAAAATCGAGATTTTCAGCCACTTTAAATCTTGACTGTGGCTTAATAAAAACTACAAAAAGCAAACAAACCATTCTAACAAAAACAAGACACCTTGATGTCATTTTTACTGTAAAGAAACTGTTTAGAATATATGTCTAAGCAAGTGGTAACCAAGGTTACATTTGGAATACATTTAAAATGCTGAAATATGCTGAAAAACACTCCGTATTTACTAAAGGTAGGTGTTACATGCTCAAACTCAATCAACGACTTAAGAAAAACAATGAAAATGTTTGACCTTAAGTATATAAGTATAAGCAATATTATTCTATAAATAACTTTTCTGGTTGCCATGGCAACACAGTGTAACCATGCAAAACCAGTAACTAAGATTCGGTTAATGCTACTGTCTTGAGGAAAAACATGAAAATTCAAGACTGGCAAGTATGCATCATTAGGACCTTGCAACATCAAAACCATAAGAAAAATTGGGTATAATTGCTACATTGCAGTGTTACCATGGAAACAAAGTACCAGTGCTTAAAAGTGAATTATTTTTCGCTGCATTAAGAATTAAATTGCCATTTAATCAAGAAACAAATTAAAGGACTCAGCTTGAATAGTACTTATCTGTTAGAACTGAAGTTGAATATCATATATTGATAAAATTCGATGAAAAAAACAACACTGTTGCTATGGTTACCAAGAAGGGAAAATGTTCGATTTTGTGGACTTTATATCAATATTAAACCCTGTGTGCCAACTTCTTGCATCCACTTGGAGATTGGACGATGGTCAAAATTAAAAGTCAGATTAGCTGTTAATAAATATCAATCATAAAAGTTTTGGGAATCTACATTAAAAGGTACGTATCCAAGGAAAGAAAATATTTTTTGGGTTTTTAAGCATATATTTTCTGCTTATTTCCATAGCAACGCTCTATTTATAGAATGTAATCTGAATTTTTTCAAATGGGAAAACTAGGAACACACCAACATCTTTAAAAATTGATCATTAATTATGAGGAAATGTGCTTTTTTAAAAGATAGGATCAAATTTAAACATACAGATTGTTACTTTGAAGGCTCTCTGTGGTATAAAAACCTTGGCAACCATTGCCAACCAAAATGAAATATCATATTTTGTTAATGGTATATGTTTCAAGGTACTTTTTTCTATTATTAAATCACATTTCATCCCATAATTGCTTTTTATTTTTACCTGTATGACTTTATAAAATTCAATGAATATTTTTTTTTACTTTTGAATACTTTGTTACCATAGAAACGTATGTAATAGTTGATTTACCAAACATGTTTATCATGCATTTCAGACATCTAACCTTCAACTTTTGGAAACAGTCATTGCCAATTGTTTGCTTTGCCGCAAATGTTAACTATGGGGCTCTAAACATGTTAAAAAATGCCATTTTTCGAACTTTAAGACATGTTGCCATGGTAACTATAAAACATAGCAACCAATTTTTGCCTGATTTCAGTTTAGGGTATCAATGACTTTTATCGTAGAGAGTTTGGAGAAATTCTGAGACTATGCGTGCCACAGCTCCTATATAAAATTTCAAGTCGTTACAGAGAATGGCTCTTAAATTCCCCTTTGTACCAGTGGTTTTTGAGAAGTCGAAAATGTGAAAAGTTTACAGACGGACGGACAGACAACGGACAAAATGTGATCAGAAAAGCTCACTTGAGCCTTCCGCTCAGATGAGCTAAAAATACTATATGCAGGGTTATTTCCCCCTGTATAAGTTTCTTTCTTTTACACTTGCTAACAAATTTGCCATGTCTTAAATCTGCCCAGTCAAAGTTCTGTTTAAGAAATTCTACTATCTTTGAATTCCTCCTGTTTTAATTTTTTTCAAATGTAAGTAGGATGAAAAATGTGAAAATAAAATGGGGGCAAAAATTTCACTGCATGCTGTTTCTGTTTTGTTCTATAATTGTAAAGAAGTCATACATGTCCAAGAACGAATTCGATGTCGATATCGACGATATCGACAATATTATGTCGATATCATATCGATATCGATCGTGATGAGCACTATTAATTTGAAATACTTGGTACCATATATGAGACCATGTGTTATGTCGATGTCGTCAATATCGACAAAAACATAACGATATCGTATCGATCCTATTTGTAGAATTTATTTGAACAGTGAGGTATAACATAATTTTACAAGGTCCAAGTGATGTCAAATTCTTTCATTATTACCATGAATATGAAATTAAATGATGATAAGGAAAAGGTTAGTGGTTGTTATTGTTTTGGATTAGGTTTAGAGTAAGATGTTTGGTGAGGATAAAAGTTATTAAATATGTTTTAACAATTATGATTCGATATCCATACGATATCGTCGATATCGACGATATCGACAGTAAGGTAAACTTATTAATCAGAAAGTAAATATGCACAAGCGTTGCATGAAGAAACACAGAACTTATTGTCATGGGATATGTTAAAATAAAGACTTTGTATTTTTGTGAAGGTTGGTAAAGTAATATGTTTAACAATTATGATACGATATCGATACAATATCGTCGATATCAACGAAATCAATGGCAGGTACAATCTTCGTAACAGGAAATTAAACAAAAATACACATACAAAGTAACAGGGGCGGTACTTACAAAGGGCTGAGCAAACATGATTTGATATCAAAGCCACATCGTCGATAGACGATATCGACACCACAGGGAAAGTTGTATAAAAGATAGTTTTCAAGTAACACATGTTAAAATTACAATACTAGTATTGTAGGTGGAAACCATAATTCTTTGAACAATCATAATTCGGTATCGGCACGATATCATGGATATTGACAGTAAGGAAGACTTCTTAAAACAGAAAGTATTGTAATAAAAACAAAAGGGTAGAGAAATATTATACTAAACAATAAAAAAGTAATATGTCGATATCGTAACTATATACGTGTCTTGGACATAACTCAAAGAAGTAGAGAGCAAATAAGCACTTTTTAAATGTTCTTGATACAAACACCAGATAATTGATTCCTCAGTAACTAAATGGTCAGTGGTAAACCATGGCCAGTTTTATAAACCACACAGTATCTGAACATAGTGGAATTAATGTGATATTACTGTCCTTATATCAAAATGTTGAAGAACATCATATCAAGTTCTTGTGAACATTTTCCTTCATACACCTTTTGTTTTTATATAAAAGGTTTGAATTAGACTATATTAATGATACCAGACCCCCTCCTTTGGCTCTCCCTTCCTCTTATTTAATTTTATGCAACTAAAGCAAAGAAAGATAATTCTAACCTCCATTACAAAATAACTTGCATTTTAATCCCATAAATTAGGTATGTTGCATGAACCCTCCGATTGGTAATTGCATCAAAATCTGTTTTGTATGTACGTATACCTACATCTGTCCTGAAAAGTCTGGTTGGCAATGACATGTATGCACCCTTGAATGCCCTCTAAGAATGCATAAAATAACTGATATTTAACCTTTTGACCATTTCCTTTCTCTATGCAAACAAAGTCCACCACTTAATGTTGGACCAAGAAAAATCTAGAGAGCATGCATTTATGAATAGCTATGGTGGTGTTTATTAGCAGTAAACGTAGAAACACTTACCCATGGGGATATTGTAGGCCCTCTCCATACCACTAGGGTTAGAAGGGGTTCGACACTCCAGGTTTACTTCCTTCCTTAAGCACTGGTCTATATCCACTTTACTAAAGAAGGCCACCGACTTAAAAGAAAGGGAGGTATAAAGGTAAAACTGCATATCCATACGTAATCACTCTTTAAAAATAGCAAATTACATTTCCAACAGTTGCAGAAGACAAATGGAATGCTTTATGGTTCCTGATTACATGTAACATACACATTAAATAAGATGTCAAGTATTTTTGTTACCTGAGGTAAATTGTTCATTCCTAGAGCGTGAGCAAACATACACCTGGTTAGGAGGTTAGTGATGTGTAGGGCTAGGACTGCCCTGTACCGGTCCTTACTGGACACTAGGTACCGGACCTCATCATGGATACTGATGCTGAACCGGGCATCTATATCATACTGACTACAGAGCCAGTTCATACACACCAACATAAGGTGCAGGTAATCCACAGCCGAACTCTGTACTACCCAGTTAATACGACTTGTCATGAACTGAAAGTACACAATAATGATACTCTGTACCACCCAGTTAATACGACTTGTCATGAACTGAAAGTAGACAATAATGATACTCTGTACCACCCAGTTAATATGACTTGTCATGAACTGAAAGTAGACAGTAATGGTAATATAAGGTATGAAACTGATTTGTATTACACCATTTTATTCCTAATACAGAGAACATGGCTGATTGACTTACTTCATCTCCTATGACCTCTGGTTCTAACACTTTACTGATAGAGGCACTCAGTACAGGTGTCTTTGGAGAGGGGGACTTGGCTATTGATTCCAACATGTTGAACATCACACTCTCTCTAGCAGAAAATGTACAAGTTTATTATTATACTCTTTACAAAGATTTAAAGTGAGGTCTTTATATTATTCTAATTTTGTAAATAAATGAATATTATATAACAGGATTTTATTTCTATGCAGCTTGTAACACAAGCTTTGATTGGTTACAGAGTAAATTTCCATGCACCCGACTTGAGACAGGGCTAAATAAAACGCGACTTCAAAATGCATAGTTTTTCTATAATAAAAAGCAAATGACAAGACAACACGATGCATTGTAGTATGTAGAAATATTAAATCTTTTCGATAGGTTGAGACATAGTTCATTAGACTCTGATGTTTACAAAGAATTTTTATGGGTACATATGAAATAAATTCGTTATCCAGGTCCAATCACTATCAAGGTTATACAGGGATTTACCCCTGGTCTTGATTGAACCTTGTTGTGAGGTGTGTTGTATCTGTATTGTTTCATCATGTCTATTATTAGTAACATTAAGTTTCTTGAACATTCCAGAGTGGTCAACATGCTCGGTCATTTTTTTAAGAACATTCTTGAACTTTGTGTATGTCCAGAACTTTCCAGTAATATCATGTACTTACAACTTCTAAAATTTTCTAGATTTATAGTACTATATAAATACCCTGTCAATTCGATGCATAAATAATAATTGTCATATAATCACCATTGATGTACAAGTAAGACTGGCTTACAAAGAGTCTGGGATATATTTCACTGGAACATTGTTGCAGCAACGGACACTCTGATGTATGTATTTTTAGATTCTTGCTAAGTTTGTACTTTATGTTTGATATATTTATTATATATTACTGTAAATAAATTATTGTTAAGTTTAAATTGTGTTATTGATCTTTGCTGGCATTTCGGGTTATTCTGACCCATAACAGAATTGGGGGCTCGTCCGGGATAAAGAATTTCTTGCACTTTTGCAGTTTATTGTCAGAATTTTTTTTTATTGAACCGTTAAATTTGATTATAAGCCAGCAAAAATCAACATGGTATTTTCAGTCACTGACTTTCTTAGTTCACCAAGTGTTCAGGTTTTTGATACGTTAAAAAAGGATGACTTGATCGCATTAGGTTTGCATTTTGGGTTAAATGTTAAATCCTCTCAGAGAAAGCAAGACATTAGAATTAAGGTTGCAAACAAACTAGTAAAAGAAAACATCTTTGAAAAATACGATCTTCCAGAATATACAGTTAAATCAGAGTTAGGCTCTTATAAAATGGCAGAATATCAGTTTCAATTAGAGTTAGAGAAAATGCGATTTGAAAGAGAAAAATTAGAAAGAGAAGAACGAGAGCGTGAACGAAAATTTGAATTAGACAAATTAGAAAGACAAGAGCACTTTGAGTTAGAGAAATTAAGATTACAGCACCAACCAGAACCGTCATTTGTCAAGAATGAATTTGACGCAGCAAAAAATATTAGGTTAGTTCCGAAATTTCAAGAAAAATCTGTAGACAAATATTTTCCCTAATTCGAAAAAGTCGCAGAGAATCTTAAATGGCCACAACACGTTTGGTCAACAATGTTACAAAGTGTACTGGTTGGCAAAGCAGCTGAGGTATACTCTGCGCTAGGGGTAGCTGAAAGTTCAGACTATGAGAAGGTCAAAGCAGCAATATTAAAAGCATATGAATTTATAGTACCTGAAGCATATAGACAAAAATTCAGAAAGTATAGGAAGTTTGATAATCAAACATTTGTTGAATTTTCACGAGAGAAAGAAGATTTATTCGATCACTGGTTTAGATCTACGAAACTTGATAAAACTTTTGCTAATTTGCGCCAAGTCATCCTGGTAGAAGAGTTTAAGGAATGTGTTCCTCAAGATTTGAAAACACATTTAGAAGATAAGAATGTGAAAACTCTTGAAGAGGCAGCAGTCATATCTGATACTTATGCTCTGTCTCATAAAAAGAATTTTGTATCAAGATCACAGACTAGCAGTAATTCTACCAATTCAGGTTCAGGGTCTCAGTCTTCCACAAGTCTCCAGTCTTCATCCCAAGGTGGTTTTAAGTCCGGTCCAGGACGTGTTGAAGGATCTTCTGGAATAGGGTCGCTTCCTACTTGTAGTTATTGTAAGAAAAAAGGTCATCTGATCAGTGAATGCTTTAAACTTAAGAGAAAAAATGATTTTGATAAAACTCAACCACACGCTTGTGCGGCAGTTAGAGGTGATAGAGAAGTCTTAGTTTCGATTTGTTCTGACACTCCTGATGTCCAGGGTTCACAGTTCAGTTCTATTGATTCTATGGAGGATTATAAGCCCTTTATGTCTCAGGGATTTGTTTCACTCGGTGACTCTAGCGAAATAAAACCTGTCCAGATTTTGAGAGATACTGGTGCTGCACAGACGTTATTGTTAGAGGGCGTGCTTCCTTTGTCTGAGCAGACTTCTACTGGTGGGTCAGTTTTATTACAGGGTGTGGAGCTAGGCGTCATTGATGTTCCCCTGCATAGAATTAGTTTGAAGTCAGATTTAGTTACTGGACCTGTTATCGTAGGTGTTCGACCTACTCTTCCCGTTCCAGGCATTTCTTTGTTGTTAGGCAATGATTTAGCTGGTGGGAAGGTTGTACCTGATCCTATAGTTTGTGAGAAAATCACTTCCAATGTCATGTGCGATGATGAAGATGATGACATTTATCCAGCCTGTGCTGTTACTAGAGTGATGGCCAGAAGACGAAAAATGGAGGCAGACTATACTCAAGCCTTTGACGAGACGAATTCCTCTGTTGATATTGATTTGAATGACACTTTCTTATCTGACCTTGATGGCACTCAAACAAGCATGGAACCATACAATATCAAGAAGCAAAAGAAGAAAGAACTTTTACCAAAATTTGGTGGTGAGGATGATAAGTTGCATCCACTAGTTAGCTAAGGCAAGGACATCCTCAGCCGAGAACGTTTACTCTCTGAACAACATAAAGACCCAGATATCATTCAACTTAGTAAGAGGGCACTTCCACCAGAAGAGGCTACTAAAGTTGGAGAATGCTTCTATATGAAAGATGGCATCCTTATGCGAAAATGGCGACCATCTGACGCTTCTCCAGATGAAGTGTGGCGTGTTGTTCACCAGATAGTGGTCCCAGCTGCTTATCGTCGAGATGTCATGAGTTTAGCTCACGATACACCTATGGCTGGTCATTTAGGTATCAATAAGACTTATAATAGGATTTTGAGTCATTTCTATTGGCCTAAACTAAGAAAGGATGTTTCGAAGTTTTGCAAGTCATGCCATGTCTGTCAGATGGTAGGTAAACCAAATCAGAAGATACCATCTGCTCCTCTCCAACCCATTCCAGCTTTTGAAGAACCGTTTAGTCGAGTATTGGTGGATTGTGTAGGACCTTTGCCTAGGACTAGATCTGGGAACCAGTATTTACTTACCATTATGTGTACATCCACTCGATTTCCTGAAGCCATACCTCTTAGGAATACAAAGAGCATAGTTAAGGCCCTAACCAAGTTTTTCAGTTTTGTAGGAGCACCCAAGGCAATTCAGTCGGATCAAGGCTCAAATTTTATGTCTGGGTTGTTCCAGCAAGTCATGCATGAGTTGGGTATAAGGCAATATAGATCAACTGCTTATCATCCTGAGTCCCAGGGAGCGCTAGAACGTTTTCATCAAACCCTAAAAACAATGCTGAAGACCTATTGTTACCAGTATGAGAAAGACTGGGATGAAGGGGTTCATCTTGTACTATTTGCTGCACGAGAGGCAGTCCAGGAGTCTCTTGGGTTTAGTCCTTTTGAATTGGTGTTTGGTCATACGGTTAGGGGTCCTTTGAAATTGTTAAAGGAAAAGTGGCTGACTGAGACTAGTGATCTTAATCTTTTCGATTATGTGTCTGATTTCAAAGAAAAACTTTACAATGCTTGTAAATTAGCACAAGAAAATTTGAAGAATTCTCAGTTGAAATGAAAATGTGGTATAACAAAAATGCCAGAAATAGGGTATTTAAACCAGGTGATAAGGTTCTTGTATTTTTACCTATTCCTGGTCATCCTTTACAGGCCAAATTTTATGGCCCTTATGAAATTGAAAGCAAGATTAGTGATGTAAACTATGTAGTTAAGACACCAGGTCGACGTAAAGAGAAACGGGTTTGTCACATTAACATGTTAAAAGAGTATTTTGAAAGGTGTGACCAAAATTCTGTAGAACCAGTTTCCACTTTGGCCAATGCTAAGACTGTTCAAAATTGTATTGAAAGTGATACGAGTGTAGAAATGTAATCAGAGTGTCCGTTTGAAAAACTCAGAAGTTTTGGCTAATTTGGATGCTAAACTTGGACATTTGAACATTCACCAAAAAGAACAAGTTAAAAACTTGACGAGTGAGTATCATCAAATCTTTTCGGATGTTCCAAAGAAAACTAATGCAGCTTGTCATGATGTCATAGTGGGTGACACTCTGCCTATCAAACAACATCCGTACCGTCTTAATCCAATAAAATTGCAGTACCTAAGAAGGGAAGTGCAGTACATGTAGTACATGTTGGACAATGACATTATCGAACCTAGTAAAAGTAACTGGAGCTCACCATGTATTCTTGTACCAAAACAGGACGGTACCTACCGATTATGTACAGACTTTAGAAAGGTGAATTCTGTTACCAAAACTGATTCAAATACTTAGTCGTATAAGCACTATTGAAATATAAATGGGATATATTTTCACTGGGACACTGTGTGCAGCAACGGACACTCTGATGTATGTATTTTTAGATTCTTGCTAAGTTTGTACTTTATGTTTGATATATTTATTATATATTACTGTAAATAAATTTTTGTTAAGTTTAAATTGTGTTATTGATCTCTTTGCTGGCATTTCGGGTAATTCTGACCCATAACAACCTGTATAACTAATAATATATACATAGATGATAAAACTCATATTTTGCTTCAAATATGGGATTTGTAAGTTGTTCCTTTTTTTTTTTTTACTTTTTTTTTGTTGAATGAAACATTACATAAATGTTTATTTGTATACTAATAGTTTTAAATTCTTGGATATATGATTTTTTTTCTTCAAATCTCAAAAGTTGTGGTATAAATTGAATGTGCTGAACACTGTCTTTGATCACTTATGAAATCAATGTGAATTAAAGTTATCTGCGGATGACTTAACAATAACTTTGCAGTCACTGGACAACCTGATTCTATACGTACAGCCTCAATAAAATGTGAATTGCACAATGTTAGATAACAGAAGACATATGAAGAAAAACATCATCAGAAATATAGTCCAAGATATCTGTGACATAGTCCTTATATTTGATCAGTTTTCAGAATATTTTACTTACAAAAAGTACTCTCAATGTAAACAATATGCAATAATTAGACCTACATGTATATAAAAACTTACGTCCCTCCTTCCCACTGCCTCAGATCTCGTTTCCTGAAATTTTTGAAATTTAAATACATGTACATGTTTACTCAAAATCTGAGAGAATAAAAAAAAGACGAAAATAAAACAGTTTTGCAGGTTATACGTACAAATCAGAAAAACATGCATACTAGATAATGTTTTCTAAGTATGAATAGAAACTTCCTTAATACCTGACCTTTAAGGTATATACTATAATGTTTTGACATATTTATAAACAAGTGTCCTTGCTGCCTACCTTCTTCCTTTGGTTGTTTCGTACAGTTTCTTGGCTTTAGCAGCAGCTTCTATTGGGGTCAGATTGTGATTAAAATTCATCAGCAGAGTCTCTGCAAACTTCTGTCCAGCCCCATATATACGACCATAGTTTAATATCTACAAGGATCAAAACCATATAGAGGATAGAGGACGCAAATAAAAAAGTGGACTGATGAATCGATACATTTTTAAGGCATATTCTGGTTGTCAATGATGTGTATATCAAATTTCCAAAATATTAATAAGGCAATTCAAATTTCTTTCCTTTTACTATCACCCTTATGAATTTATATATTTTTTTGTCACTTTATAAGACATTATTTGAGTATTAATAATGCTTCATAATAGAAAAAACTTTGAATGAAAAAATTAAACTTCAATATGCAATTTAAAAAGAAATTAAAGTAACAAAAATTCCATATCCACATTTTTAGACATCCTTTTTTACAAATGAATACTTCAATCAATTAATAATAACAGACCAGATGAAAACTTGTAAATCAAAAACAATGCAAGAAGTAACATGTCAGCTGCCTACAATAAAATACCTATAAAAACAGAGCAATCTAATAATTCCGAGATCCCAGTTTTGTCCCGGAGCACCCCACCTTAGCATGATCTCTGGTGATTCCAGCTGTCTCTGCTGTTTTACTGTGTAAGTCTGTTTTGTCATTTTTATTTCCTTGTAGTGTCATCCAACCAAATGGGGTAGAACCTATAACAGAGAAATGAACAATGCAAACTATAAATTATCTTACACTGTATGGAACATTATACATTATTTCATCATTAAACCATTACCTATTCATTATTTTCCATGATATCTTATTGATTAACTTTTTTTTTGAAGGTGCATAAGGAGATGCACTTGGAAGTACATATTACTGTGCATTTAAATCAAAAGACACTGTGTTCTCAATATAAATTGTATTCAAGAAAGAAGACTTCACACTGATTTAAATACCACCTACCATGTATCTTGTATTTGGAGTCACCAATAATGGCTGCAATCCACAGTTCCTGGGAGTCCACATCAGCCCCCACAAAATGGTACCCTGGGGGAGACTGGATCATCGACTTCATTTCACTGCCCACCCTGTCAACCTGCAAGGTCACACAATTCTTATATGGCTTTCTTCTAAACCTTCTTTTATAAATCTATCATAATCATGCACGAGACAGAGAAAATATTTAACAAATGTAAAACAAATGCATGCAATGTGATAAACAACTTCATTTTGTAAAATTTGGTGGGGGAGATTTAATCATATGATACTTTACATTATTTAATAAGTAGCTCTAGATATACAGAATAAGTCTTTTACTTACATAAGCATTGCTGGCTGTCATCCATGTCTTCTCCACAGCTCTCCTTGTGATGGTTCCAGCAGGAATAACCCGGGGAATGATGGCTCCATACGAATCATTAACATCATAACTCGGGTCTCTGACAAATACCCAAACAGAACCATGTTTATCAGTAGGAAAATATCTCCTTCATATTGATCGATAGACCTCTTACCCAAATCATTCTCAGGAACCAAGTGGAAGAAAAATCAATGATATGTTCACCTTCAAATGTTAAAGTTGGGTGCTGATGAAATATTTTTTCGTAATGATTAAATCAATTTAGGTTTTATAAACACTTATTGGTGAAAAGGGGAAAAATAAATGCTATGTTCATCTGGAATGTTAATGCAGAAGAAATAATATTTCAAAGAGAAATCAGAATTATTTTTGTACCTTGTAATAGTGTCTGGTAGATCTTCTTCATTCAGTATTACTGCCATCTGTCCCCTGTAAATTAACAACAGACTCTTCATAAATAAAAAAGTTGTTATATCACTTTTCATCTTTAAATTTTATCTGTTTAACCAAATTTTAATACATTGTGCTCAAATGTTTTAAAACATTTCATCTAATCTTTATAATCCAACTGACGCGATTCGGTCTTTGTTTTTCTGCCAGTAGGAGCACATCTTGGTCAGTTTCAGCACGGTCTCTGCCGTCACTAGGAGGGACTTGAGGACACCTGTCTCTATCAGAGGAAGGAAGTCCTTAGACAGGGGGTTACCCACATTGCTGCCTTTACCGTCCTATAAACAGTCATCAAAATGGTTTAATCAAGATCAGTCCAACTTTATCCCAACATTTCTCAGTTTCTTTCAACTAGAAAAAAAGACTTCTTCATATTACAGTGTACTTTTTAAAGAAATGTAAAATGCTTTCATGTAAGAGATATTGATTCAACCTCACTCGAACCACAACATGTCACACCTTGTTATCATTTGTACAGTACCTTGTGAGGCAATTTTTGGAACCAACAGCCTGGAATCCCAATATCATACTTTGTTTCTTTTACCTGTTGAATAAAGATTCTTTACAGTGACATGAAAAAGATATCACTTGTTTGCTATTATTTTTTAAGCAAAATGAAATTTGATCTCATTGCAATTAAAACTGTTGAAATCCCCCATTGTCTGAAAACTATCAGATTTACCTCTAGAATGTCATCTTTTTTCTTGGCCTGTTTTTTGATGCCGGCCTCATCCAGATGTTTAGCTCGTTCATTCCACTCCATGTCATTTTTTGCCGTGTTTAACATCTTCTCCATTTCATTGTCAGTCATCGGGACAAGCAACTCTTCTGACACTGGTTCCTTACACATCTTGAACAAGTTCCTTGAAATAAAATCAACACAATGTCAGAAAAATTATTTTTTTATTTATACAAAATTTTATACACAAATAAAAGTCAATGGTATTGGGCAGCAGGAAAAGCCTATTTTACTCTCCTCTCCCAGGAAAAATTAGGATTAATGCATATGAAAAATAAAACATTCAAAGGCAAAGTGACTGTTACATGTAGCTTCATTTTCAAGATCTTACAAACCTCATTTTTTTAAATGCATTGAATTTATACTTGTGGTTAATTGGTATACTTTATACATGTGCATTATCTTTTAACATAGGTAATAATGTAAGCATGTAAATTCATGGTAACAAATCAAAACACTTCAAAACACTTTACATGATGGGGAAATTTGACATGTGCCCTTCAGCCATGGCTAACTTCTGTCTATCAGCTGCAGCCTTGTGTTTGTCAGGGATTAAAAATCCCCAGCCATATTTTGAATCATAATGAAGGGGGTAGCCCTTGTAGGTCATTCTTAGGAGCTTAGGGGTGATACGTCTTGAAGTGGTGATAAGAGAGGGACCTGGCTTCCAGTCATTAGCAGTCTTCCTGGGGCATAACTCTCTGTACCAACTAAAGAATAATGTAAAGTAACCAGTGTGAATAAGTACGTTTGAGGTTTTCCAAATTTATAAAATTGTGTGTGTAATCCAGTCTCATAATTTATGGCCTTCCTTTGACTTTCATTTAACATGAATTATGCATTCTCATTTGCTCTCATTCATAAACACTTTTTAAAACATTTTGCATTCTCAGTTAACTTATCTGAACTTTATTCCATTTACACATTATCTGCTCTTAATTATTTCAGTCAACTCATATTCATCACTCTCAAATCCCTCTTTTGAGTGAACATAATAAGAATTCAGTCAGAACAATTCAGTGTTTCCATTCACATTCACTCAGATTGCTCATTGTTTTTGCCATTCACTCTCAGTGTGTTTACGTATCTTTAGGAATATTAGAATTTACAGACTGTAGAATATGACTTACGCAGGATATCCAATCATGTGACGGCCAACCTTGGGTATTCTATCTTTTGTTCCCAGGATTTCTTCAAGCACTTGTTCTGGTGTTTTATCCTTCATTACATATCATAAATATTTACGTACACAATATCAATTTACTACCATACATAGTCTTTCAAGTCAGGAAGTTTCAAAGTTAATTACAGTTCAGTTCTGAATCTGGAAATCCCTACCTTATTGGTATCCTTTGGCTTCTTTTTTGGTTTGTTTAGCTTATATTCATTAACAGTCCAGTCTAGATCCCATAGCCAAAGGTCATCTTCATATCTACAAAACCATTAAATGATACCTTTAAAAAATGTATTGACATAATGTTTATTGCTAATAAGGCAAATTTGTATTTACCCTAATAGTATGCAATTCTGATCAAAATGTAAAAGAATCTGTTATTTACCATGTTTGAGTTGTACATATCATAGATCTGTAATTCCCATCAAAATCTATACTTATACTCACCAATACAATTAAGGCTTGCTTAAAAAACAAATTTAAACCTCATAGTTTATCCAATCTACCCTCATTACTTTCCTCTGAGTGCTTTAATATCTGCAAAAAGTACCTGTTGTCATGTAATAATTCACAGGCCTCGTTTGCTAGCTTTTGGAGCAGTCGAGAAAGTTCGTTCTGAAGGTCATCATACACAGCATCTGATTGGTTAATATACCTCTCCCAGTTTTGATTGATAGGTAAGTAGGCTGTTCCCATCTCCATCATTCCTGATAGAGTCACTGGGTTTGGAAATCTTAAATGAGTTTTACAATCAAAGACATTTTAAGATTTTTTTTAAATGCATGTATATGCTATAAAATTATGATTTCATTCATGACAGTGACCTTCACAACATTTTGTCCATTCAACTTGTTATTAAAAAAATATCAAAGTATTAAAGACAAGTAAAACTATACATTACTTAACAATCAATGCTGAATAAAGTTTTAATGCCAATCTTTCCACTTATTAGAAGCTGGGCAAAATTTACCGCTCAAGAAATTGTGGCCAGACTTTTCTAAAAACATGTAGAGTTGCTTCCACGTCACCAGCACAATATGAACACAGTTCCTATTGAAACAGTAATATAATATTATTAATAGTAAATGAAAATAAGATGTTTATAAACTTTTGCTTCAAGATCATACAATGGACTACTAGCTGGTATACTGCTTCATTTAATCAGTGTTATGCCTTTGTTCAGACTTGGAATGAAGTTTTTTCTCCTCAATGTGTGTACATGTACAATCAATTGCACACATCAACAGCAAATTTTCAGTACTCTTCTTAGTTTTATCTACATAACATGTGTAAGCAGGGACAGGGAGAATCACCTGGAACATTTCCCTGACGTCTGCCATGTTACCCTTCACGAACACGTCCCTGGTGGCTTTCTTCAGAGATCCCCCCCCGCAGTGGTGCTGGTATACATCATTCAGATTATTCATAGTGCTCTCACTGGTCCAAGTATTATCGACCTAAAACACAATCATGTACATGTAAATGTCATCTTTAAGTCAGCAGACAAAAACACACATCTGCAAAAGTTCACTGCACTGTTTATACTGAGAAACATTAAAAATATGACAAAGTATAATTAAAACTTCATAGTTGCAGTTACAGTGTATCTATAAATAAGAGTGATAATCGCATAATTAAAACAAAATTTTACTCATATTGTCTTAGAAATATGTGTTCATTTAATTTCTGGAGGGCAATGTTCATGGGAAAGCAAAATTTTCTTAATTTGTGGGAACGTAATTTTGTTCATAACTCGTATATAAGCAGATTCATTGGATAAATACGTTGACAAAATACTTGTTCATGGGGATGTAAGTTGTGGATAAGGGTGACCCACAATAATCCACAAACATGTATTGATGATTCCCAACATTTTCCTTTTTAGAATTCTTGATTTAACAAAGTTACCATTTCCCTCCTGGAGTGCTTCATCTCTATGTACTCTCTGACATCCTTTCTATTTGTTGCCTTCTTGCTGGACTGGAACAGAACTTGTTGGAAGCTGGTCATACCACACACAGCAATGTGAAGGGACATGGTGTCCAAAAAACGTAATCGAGATTTCTTTTAATAAAATAAAAAAAAATTATTTATTATCATGATCACATGTATTCTCAGTTCTAAACAACTTAGATGATTTTTATTTACATTTTTAAGGCTGTAGGAGTGAACAAAAATGTTTGCAAATTTTTTAATTAGAATTTTCCATAATAAATATTAGGCAATTCCCTTTAATGCTACCTTTATATAATACTGCTCCTTGATGAATGATCTGTCGAAGCCTACATTATGACCAATCACTACCTTCTTTCTACTTCCTTCTACATTTGAACTGTGACTCTGGGATGCTGACTCTAATGGAATCAGGTCACAGGCCTGTGGATTTTTAGTCCATCGGAATTTATCTTTCACTACTGCCTCTGAGCACCACGAATACCTGTTACATGTAATTCCAAGAAGTTTAGAGGATTGTTCAAAATAATGTACATGTACAGGTGTAAAAGTTAAGCAAACTTTTTCCTCCTTTTGACTAAATTTCTTATTAAATATGCACCCAAATTAAGATGAATGCTGTAAAAGAAGGTGTATTTACATCATGATTTCTTTAATTCATGCATATTTGAATTGTAAATAAATGGAATCACCAAATATAATGCAATTTTACAAATACTTATAAAGATCAAATCAAAACGACAGAACTGACAATCATTTCTTTGAAAAGGCTCTTTCAAAAAAGGATAATAAGATTAAAGAAATCACAGCTTGCAGGTTGGAACAACAGACCAGTTTGTTGGGGAGAGAGCTGTTGCCAGGGTTGGATAATGTCCCTCCTGTACCAAGATCTCAACGTCAAACACCAAGATGTCCTCCTCTGGATATTCCACTGGGGTGCCCTTCCCTGACTCAGCATCATACTTTGTCCAGCCTGCCCTCTGGGACCATTTCTAGGTATATACAAAATTATCCATTGATCAGCATACTTGAGGATATGTACGTCTCCCATTTGATTTACATTTAAAAATACAAATGCAGGTGCATGTAAATAAACTATTTTTTTATTTTCTTGGCGCATGCAAATATATTAAGCTATCTAAGGAAAAAAGAATGTGTTTTCAGAGATGGAAATATTTTAATTACCGATATATATTTGCCTTCTACAAATCAATAAATTAATAACCCCTCGTAACAGAGTTGGAGAGTGCACCTAAATTGTTTTAATAATCTATTTCAAGTGTGTCTGAGAAGTATGAGCAATGCTTGAAAATATTGTCTTACTGTAAGAAATTCAATAAACCCATGGTGTTCTAATGTTAGGTTTACCTTTGGTTTGGCTGGAACTGGTTCCCACATTAACTCTTTTGTGAGCTGTACGTAGCCATCCAGCTGATGGTTAGCAATGTTGTAGAAGTGTTCCGTGACTGACTTCCCATGAAGTGGGGGGAGTTCCACCTTAACCTCATCCAACACTGCTGTCTCTTTACCCCACAAACCATGCTTCAACAGATTTTTCTTGATCTCATCCAAATCATTGGAGGTTTCTCCCTCTAAAAATCATCAGTTAATATGTCACTAAATATAATGATTAAATAGAAAAGTACATAATAATTGTCAAAAAAGAATAAACTGAATAGATCTATTAACTGAATTTCCTAATTAAAATTTCAATGAAAGACTATGAAATTTGTTTAACATTAATAATGATTATAATTGATGGCTTGCACCATTCAAAGAATCAGATAAATTCATTTTCTGGAAATTGCTGTACAGAGTTATTACTAAACTCTACTTGTATTTATATAAACAATTCACCTGTGGAATTTATGTTGGGGAAAATCTGTCGATGAAGATTTTCTGGCAACAACTGAATTTCAATTTCATTCACCTGGGGCTTGAATGCACCTAAATTTTTTGTCGTTATGGAACTGAACTGAAGTGTGTTGACCCAGCATTCATAATGGGTTAAAGAAACTCTTCTTTTTTCTGACCATTTCTTCAACAACCTCC